CAGCCCCCTGACCAGCCCCCGTCGGACACCCTCAGGCCTCATCAGCTCTCCCCACCCAGGGCACTGGCCTCCCACTAGCTGGGCCCCCTCTGCCATTTTGCACACCTGTTACCCATAAACCTTCGGTGGCTCTTTGCCTCCTGATGCTGGGTCATCCTCCCAGCGTTTCCCGCCATCCTTCTCTGCACGGGTGCTCTTTGTGCCCACCCCTCAATGGCTGTCTGTATGCTACCTCCTGTAGGAAGCCCTTCCTGATCTCCCCTTCCCCCATTCTGGCGGCGGTGTCTCCCTCAGCTGGGTTCCACACAGAGTCATCTGTCCCTCACGAGACAGGAGCAGGGGTTTCATAGGGATCTGCTAATGTGATGAAGCCGGGCAGGAAGGCGAGGCCAGGCGGCATCAGAAGTTTGTGCTTGCTTGGTCTTGAAGGCAGTGGGAGCCATGGCTGGGCTTTGGGCAGGGAGATCCAAGTCTTACGACACCCCCTCGGGCCGCTGTGTGGAGGTGCAGGGCAAGGGGAGAAGCCTGAGCAGGCAGACCCCAGGGCTTGCTGTGGGACCCCGGGCGCACCTCCAGGCCGACAACAGGAGCACAGAGGGTGGGGGTGCTCCCTGGGCCCCTGGTCACAAAGCACGGCTGCTCAGTACCCCGGTCTCCGCTCCCCTCTGACGGGGCTCCTGGCTCAGAAGGGCCAGAGGCTGCAGCTGGGCTCTGCTGTCCAGCGTGAGGGCAAGGGGGGGAGAAGGACGGGAGGCGTCATCCTGCCCGGTCCCCGGCGCTGAATTCCATCCAAGACATACGCAGGAAGCCGCGAAGGGAATTAGAACTCAAACATCGAGCAAAGCTCTTAAATAAATAAAACAGGGAGAGACACCGTCGGAACCTGCGCTGGGCTTGCACAATCCACGCGGATTATCAAATGCCACGTTGTAAATTGCCCTTGGGCTCTAAGTTTTGAATTAATTGTATGCACATAGACCTATTTGTCTGAGTCGTGGGCAGGGAGGCTTTGAGGGTCACGGGGCTCTGCTTAGGTGAACAAGGAAGCCTCCTCTCCCTGTAGACACGCTGAGCACGTTCATCTCCGTGTTACTAACCCACTGACAGACACTTCTCCACACCACGCAGTCCCCCTGCTGCCAGGGGAGATGGGGATATGCAAAGCTCCTGGAAGGGTAGTGAGCCCCCTTCACTGGGGGTATGCAAGGAGGATCCGAGGGTCATAGGGGATTCACCTATTGAACAGATGATCCATTCATTCCACAGTTCCTACCGTGCGCCGGGTGCTGCAGCGGGCCTCGCAGGGAATCAAGGGCTCAGAGCCGGTGAGATGGAGACACTGCAGAGAAGCCTGGTCACACTGGTGAAGGGAGGGTCTGCTGGGACCCCGTGGTGTGCTCATGAGGCTGAGGAAGGGGTTGTCTGGGTGTGGTGTCAGGGAAGGTGGCTCAGGGGTGGTGGGATATCTAGGCCCAGACAGAGGAGGACATGGCTCTATGAAGGTGAGGAATGGGCATCTGGGGCTGCAGGCCCAGCATGTGCAAGGGCCCTGAGGTGGGGAGCAGAAGGGCAGGCAGGAGCACAGAGGATGAGGTGGCACTGCGGGGTGGGAGGGGCCAGACGGCACAGGGCCTCGCGGGTCAGTCAGTGCTAGGGAGCTGCCGAGGGGTTCCTGCTGGGGACGGGCAGAATGCATTGATCCAGGTTATCATGGTCACTGCGGGGAGAAGTGACCGGAGGGAGATGAGGGAGGTGGGGCGGTGCAGGCCAGTGGTGCTGGGGCAAGGAGGATCGAGGGCGGCTCGGGGGCAGGTTCCAGGTGGAGCTGAGGACTCGCCTGTGGATGGGAGTGAGGAGCCAGGGGAAGGTGACATGACAAACACGTGCAGCTGAGGACCAGGTCAGCAGAGGACAAGCCGGGCACTGGGGACTGGACCTGAGTCGTCAGTGCCTGGACATCTGAAGGCAGGCCCAGTTGAGGGTGGAGACGGTGGGGATTTTGTGCAGAGAAGCCCGGGATGGGCAGCACCTCGCCGGCCACTACACGTGGACATCACCCAGTGACCTCGGGACAGACCCTCGGGAGGGCGGGGATGGAGTGGACGCTGTCAGTGACACTCGATGAAGGCTGAGCCCCGTGGCGCCGGACACCCTGGCCGGACCTGGACTCCAGCCCTCGGGGACCTTCTGTCCCCCACCTGCAGAAGAAAGCCTGGGCCCCGTGACAGCGCCGCCTTCAAAGCCAGCCAGAGCGGGGGTCCTGGCCTGGCTCGGTCACTTCCTGGCCAAGTGACCTCAGACCAATCACTTGACCGCCCCCTGCCTCCCTGAGCGCATCTGGGCTGTACGAAGGGCCAGATTGGCAGAGGCAGATAAACAGCGCGAGCAAGAGACCCCATCCGGCACAGCAAGTATTCTGTAAGGGCTGGGTTTAGCGAGTGTAACTGGCAGAAACCTGGATGTCTGCGGTCCCTGTGCATGGGGCAATCTGATGGCACAGGGCCCAGGAGCGAGGGCGGGGCCACACAGACCATAACGTGCACAGTGAGCACCGACCCCAGCCCCGAGCGCCCTCCCAGCAGCACTGAGGTCTCCCACCCCCCTGTTTAAGGCCCCGGCTCCCTCCCGGCTTCCTTGCCCCTGTGGCTCTGGCTGGGTCAGGCCTGGACCTGAGAGGTCGCTCCTTCTGCCTCTGCTTTGCTCCGGTCCCTCCTGTCCCGCCCATCCTTTGCGGGGAGAGCTCCAACTCACCTTCCACAGCTCAGCACAGAAGCTGACCTGGCCAGATAAACCAGACACGGTGGTGGTCCTAACAGGGACAGTCACCCGTGAACAAATAAGTGGTCTACCGAGGGCTCAGTAGGGGGCACGTGCCCACACACCCTGGCTCATTGATCCCTGCCAGCCCCACCCGCGTTACAGAAGAGGAGACGGGGGTCAGTAGCCTTAGAGCCCCAGCCCGTGACCTCCACGCTGGCAGCCCCTTCCTCCCATCGTGCCCTTCCTGCCTGTGGAGTGACCTCTGCACCTGTCTGGGGTCAGGCTCCTCCTGTCTTCTCACCCTCCCACGTGTCTCCCCAGCTGTCGAGTTTCTCCAGGGCACAGATGGGGTCTGCCCATCATGGTTCCCTTGTCGCCAGCCCCGGGCCAGCTGGACACACAGACAAGGTACTTCACAAATGTGGACTCCATCCTCAAAAAATGAGGGTTTCGAAATGCTTGGGACCTCCCCTCCCCTGGCCCTGGAACCTTATTCTAACAGCATCCCCCACACGGGGGAGTCAGGGTTGGGGGGCCCCATGGACACAACCAAGCTGTAGTGGGCGGGCGCGCCTCGCCCTGAGCCTGCGGTCTCTCGGAGCCACCGGCATGGCCTGAGGTGGCGCCCCCAGTGCCAAGCCCCGGGGCAGAGGGCCACCTGTGAGGTGTAGCCATGGTGGCTCATTCACTGCCAATGCCCGTCTCAGACGCTCCGTGGGGCCTGGCGCCCTCATCCCTCGCTCTCCTGGGCACGATCTAAACACAAGTCTGACACTGTCGCCCTCACCTCCCTTAGAGCCCTTCACTGGCCCCCCCAAATAATATTTAATCCTACACAGTCTTCCCAGACTGGGCTCCCCAGAACCCCAGGGTGCCAGGGGGAGCACATACGCGTTCTGCCAGGAAAGAAGAGCTCTCTGCTGAAATTCTCTTGGAAAACCCTGGGTTTTATGATTTTGTGTGTGTGGGTTTGTTTGTTTGTTTCTCACTGCAGGTTCTCTCAGAACTTCTGATAGACTCCAAGGTAGTGTGAATCACCACTGCATGGACGGTGTTTATGTTCCCAAACTTTCTGGGCCATGAGACACTTATTTTCAGAATACCAGACACAACTGGGGGAAGTCTGGCCTACAGGATGAAGTCTAAGCCAATGGCAGGACGCTTATGGCCATTCGTCCCCCATCCCCACCAGCCGGCCCAGCTGCGGGAGTCGCACCCCCCACCCCATGCATCCCACTCCCCACCAGCTGCTCCTGGCTCCGTGCTCCCCACGTGGTGGCTCACGCTCTCCCCTCTTCCCAGAGAACCGTTCCCTACCACTACCTGGAGAACCTGTCCCCCCTCATCCGCGGGATTCAGGTGAGACCCTCCTCATCCCTGAAGGCTTCTCGGCACCCCAGGCAGCTGGACTCCCCACGGTGCTCCCAGGGCCCGCAAAGCCGGGCCCGGTGGTCAGAGTCTCCCCCCACCAGCTGGAAACTGAGGGCATACACAGGGCTCGACTCATCGCTGCGAACTTGGGGCTCAGCCCCAAGCACATGGCAACCGCAAGTACCTACTGAACCGCCTTCCTAAGAAGTGCCCTAGACAAATAAAGGGGCGGCAGGGTATTCTAGCATTTTCTTCCATGCACAGGGTCAAGCTGTGTGGCAAGAAGCAGTTCTGGGCCAGCTCCGGGTGGGGGGAGGCTGTCCTAGGGTTTGAAGGGACAAAGGAGGTCCCTGATTCAGCAGCCTGTCCCAGGAGGCCCCAAGCCACTCAGAGACCCCACATGCTGGCTCACCATTCCCAAACAGCTCTCTAGAGACGTGAACTCTTAAGTGCAGCTAAAAAGAAAGGAAACACTGGATGTCGCTCAAGAGAACATCTGTTCTGGGTTAGATTTAAGGCCAGGAAAGATTGCTTTCCACCCAGCACCCGGACAGAGCAGGAATATGGGAGCAGCAGAAATGATACACAAGACAGTTACGTTTTGATGGGGCCAGAGAGAGACAGGGAAGCAGAGAGCTAGACCAGACCCCTAGGGTGGTCAGGAGGGCACCGGGTTTCACTCTTAACTACTTCTGTGACTTTGGGCCTCAGTTTCCCCACCCGGAAGGCCAGGGGTCAGGTTAGATGATTTCTGCCCATTGTGCCCAGCCAGTGCTGACCTCGAGGCTCCTCCCTAGCTCTGCGCCTCAGTTTCCCCCGGGGGCGCCTTCCCCCCCACCCCGCGGCCGTCGCCCGGGCCGAGCGCTTACCCGATGGGCAGGCGCCCTTCTGCAGCTGGCGCACGGGCGTCCCCGAGAGCTCCAGCGCGCGCCGGCTGGCCGCCTGCAGCGCGCACACGTTGGCGTAGGTGTGCCCGTCGGTGCCGCACACGGCGTGCGCCCAGCGGCAGCGGCACACGCCGCGCGCGCACTCCAGGCTCTCCCCGCACGGCGAGTCGAGGGG